AAACACACCAACGCCTATTTTTATTTCCAAAGAAGCCCCACTGGTAGAAAAAATTGCGTTAGAAGCCCATTTGCGCACATTACATAGTGGAATAAATCAAAGTTTAATTGAATTGAGACAAATGTTTTGGGTACCAAGCGGACGGCAATTAATAAAGAAGATAATAAATCGATGCTTACATTGTAAAAGAGCGAAATTATTGCCATACTCAATTCCAAAAATGCCAGATCTCCCAAAAGAAAGAATTTTGCGTTCAAAGCCGTTTCAAAACACGGGACTGGACTATGCCGGTCCCTTTGAAGTAAAAAATAGTGGTGGTGAAATTGTAAAAGTCTGGATTGAAATATTTTCTTGTATGGCCACACGATTCACGCATTTGGAATTGGTACCGAGTCTATCAGCTAAATCTTGTATACAAGCCATGAGAAGATTTATATCGGAATACGGCAAACCAAAATATTTTATAAGCGATAACGGCACGCAATATAAATTAACATGTAAAGTAATACAAGAAATTGAACAAAAAACAGAAAAAGAAAAAATACATTGGCAGTTTATCCCAAGCCTCAGCCCATGGTTTGGCGGCTTATATGAGGCCATGGTAAAAATTATGAAAAATTCTTTAAAGGCTGCTATAGGCAGAAAAATGTTAAACTATGAGGAGTTAAGAACAATACTTTCAGAAATAAAAACAATTATGAATAAAAGACCACTAACTTATGTATACGAAAACTTTGACGACGCCTATACTGTATTGCGTCCAATTGACCTTATTTTACCATCACGTAATGAAGAAAATATAGAGTTAGAAATTTTCGATGAAAAAGAATTTTTAGAAAAGGAAACCCAAAGAGAAATATTAATTAAAGAATGGGAAAATTCAAATCAAATGTTAAATCATTTTTGGCAAAAATGGGAAAAAGAGTATTTAAATAAGCTAAAGGAAAGGGCAGATAAACATAATCAGAAGTTGTACAAGAAAAATTATTTGCCCGAAATTGGTGAAATAGTGTTGATACAAAATAAACAGGTGCCAAAACAAGCCTGGAACTTGGGTAAAATTGTTGAATTAATTAAAAGTAAAGACGGGTTAATAAGAATTGCTAAAGTTCGGGTTAAAGGAAAAATCATTACCCGCGCAATTGCCTTATTATATCCCATGGAATTAAAAGCAGAAATGCCCGAAAAAATAATTGAGAGGGAAAAGGACAAGATTGAAAATAGTGAATTAAAAAATCAGAACCAGAAAACACACAAAATGGAATTGAGAGCTAAAAAGAAAATAAATTATAAAGAAATAGAAAGTGAATCAGAAGAAGAAAAGCAAAATATTGAGCAGGTAAGAATAGCAATGTTCAGACAAGAAATGAAATGTGCGATATGTGGCAGATCCGGACACCCCTCACAAAAATGTTGGTATAGAAGAAACGAATTTGTAAACCAAAATAATCAAAATTTAAATCAAAAGGAACCCCCTTCTTCATCGAAAGTAGAGACGGATTGGCAAGAGTCATATAAAAACCTAGAAGGGAAATATTTAACGCTAGAGGAAAAATTAAATAGCGTTGAAAATGATTTGTCAAAGGAAAAAATTGAAAAAGAAGCTATAGGTAAAGAATTGAAAAAACAAGAAAGAGAAATAATAGAAATTAAAAATTGTTTAAAAGAATTGACAGAGAAAGAAAAATCTAAAGAGGAATTGAGTAATGAGATAGAAAGACATAAAAATGATTTAATAAGAATTAGAACCGAATTTTGTACCCCTAAAAAAGAAAAGGAGGATAAAGGGTCTAATCAAAAATCAAAACAAACTAGCGTGTTAAAAGTTGTAGCAAAAAGTTCGGTAACGCTTCTCACAATGTTAATAATTTTTTTATTGACTTTCGGTCAAGTAGCTCAAGTTCAAAGTATTCGCTGCGCACAAAATGAAAATTTAGTTTTGAAACATTTAGAAGAGTGTAAATCGAACGGTTTGGTAATTTTTGAAAGAAAAGACAAGTCACTTTGTTGGAAAGAAATAGGCTGCAACGATAAGAATAAACACATACGTTGGCCAACAAAAAATATCAAGTACCTCTGTGATGAAAAATGCACGTGTCCCGATTGGGCAGAACAATGTATTTTCTTTAAAGGCCAAACGGAAGATAAAAATGAAAAAATAAAAGAAATATTGGAAAATAATAAGCCAAAAATTTGTTCTACTGAGGAAGATAAATCATGCGCAAAAACATTCGAAATGAAGGAATTTAACCAAATTGAATTGATTTCGGGAGAAAAATATTTGGTAAATGAATTAAAAATAGAATTGGAAGATGCAATAAAAGAATTTGTTTGTATTGGAAAAGGAAAGGAAATTACGGGTTCCCCAAGATATTGTAGTAAATACCATTGTTCCGAAAAGGGAACTAGATTTTGTTTTTACCCCAGAATTGAAAAAGCATTTTTTGTCACTCCGGAGGGAAGAGTAGCGATACAAGCATGGGGAAGAGTGAAAATAAAAGTTTATGGCTTTCCGAAAAAAGAAACGTCACTTTGTAAAGGGTGTGAATTAAAATGCACAAAAGAAGGAATACAAGTAAAAACAAATGAAATGATAGGTGGAATAGAGATTTGTAACGAAAAGAAATGTTTTTATAGAGCCCTCCCCGAAAAAATAGAAAACATAACTTTAAGCCATGAAATTGTTTTGGAAAAATACAAAACTGACGTTCAATTTTATAAAAATGGTGAATTAATAAAGAGAATGAAAATTGAGTGTGAAAAATTAAATATTTGTGAAATAATGAATTGTATCTTTTGTTTTGAACGTTTAATGAACCCGCATTGTTTCCCCGAAGTTTCCATGATATTGTTTGGGATTTTAGTTTACTTTTGTTCTAACTTAATATACATTGCTATTAAAACAATAATTTTGATTTTGAAAGTGACATTCTGGGTAATAAAACATAAAATAAAATTTATTCGATTCATCGCAAATAAAAGTAAAAGAGAAGAGGAAATTAAAAAGGAATCAAAGCCAAAACCAACTAAACCACTAATAACAAAGAAAAAACGTCCGATGAAAGTGATTGTTGCTTTATTGTTTTTAATCAATCTTTCTAAATGTTTTTGCCTCACTAGTTTACAAGCAACTGAAGAAAGTTGTGTTGTGAATAAACTCGGTGAAAGAAGCTGCTCGTTTGAAAAAATAATTGTTTTGACATTTAATCCCGAAGAGCAACAAATCCAAGTTTCTTTAAACGATCATACCGAAAAAATATTAGGGACTTTAACAATGGAAATTCATAAAACAAAGGCTTTTTGTACTAAAAGTTTAAAATATTTTTCCCGATTTTTCCACATGCAAGTTGAATCTTCAAAGAGATGCGCTGAAACAGGAAGCTGCTATGATTTAAAATGCAGCGAAATAAAATCTCATGAAAAATTAATTGAATTTAATGCCACGAATGATTACCCAGGAATAACACAATGTGTAGAAAGTAGCGGCGGTTGGTTCTCCGGATGTTTCTATACAACCCCGGCTTGTACTTTCTATAGATTTTATGCCACTCCTGTTGATGAAAGAATTTTGGAAATTTTTGAATGTCCTAAATGGGAGCTAGGACTAAGTATGAATTTAACTATTGATACAAACGAAGGAAAATGGGAAAGCGCCTTTAATCTAATCCCAGGAATGGCATCTAAACAAAGTAAAAATAAAATAGAAATAACGTTAAAAAGCATAACCACTCCCATTCTGCCTGTTTTAAATAAAAATTTTGTATTTGATGGAAAAAAGGCAGCCATGCTAGATTATGAAATTGAAACGCAATTGCAAAAATTTAAATGCGCAAATAAATACCAAGCAGGCAATTTCAATTGCACTGTAGATCCACTTACCTGTTCATGTCGACCAGCTGACGATAATGTAAATTGTCTTTGTACAGAAATTATTAAAGATGAACAAATTTTTCAAGAATCGAATAATCTCCCTTTCAATCATAACGGAATATTAGTAAAAGTCGATCATGGAGAAATAACAGCTTTTCCCGATTTAACCTCAGCAGAAGTTCAGATAAAAATTGAAGGAATGATTTTAAAGACTGAAATAAGCATGAATACTTGTATAGTCCGAGCAAATTTGACAGGATGTTTTGACTGTAAAAAAGGAGCTCATGTGGACTTAGAATGTAAAACAGACTTTGGATCGACTCTTGCAAACATAATTTGCCCGTCGGCAAAAATGGCAATACCGTGCCGACCGACTGTTGAAAGAAAGATTTTGAGTATTCATTTCTCCACGTCGGATATTGATGAGACGTGTGAAGTTTTTTGTGGCAGTTCACCAACAACATTTCAACTACAAGGCAAACTTGCCTATCCTGAAGCAGCACTGAATGATGTGATTTGGAACGAAGAATATGGAAACAAAACCGCACCACATTGGCACTTGAAACTACCAAATATGGACATTACCAACCTTTTAAAATTACTCATTTTCCCGCGCTACCTTTTCCTTTTAATAATTTCCATCTTTTTACTCATCTTAATGTTTTATTGTATTCTACCCTTACTAACTCGCTTTATCTTTTCGTGTATCCTAAATACTTTTGTTGCGCGGAGTGTTGGAAATAATGTTAAATTACAATCAAAATATATGTGATTTATTTTTTATGATTAATTCTTTATTTTAAATTTATTTTTAAATCCAAAAATGTCCTTTTTAAATATATTTTCTTATTCATACAATTTCTTAAACTTTATTTTTATTTAACATTCTTAATCATTTTTGTCATTTCCCTGTTTATATAAGCTCATCTAATTCTGTTATTTTAGCTTCAGCTTCAATTCACTTTTAAAAATTCCCAAAATCCCCTTTAGCCTAATTGTAAAATTATTAAATTGAATAAATATTAATAAAGAAATATTCCTTTTTTGGATAAATTTAGAAGGGCTAGAAATAATTAAAAAGATATTGTTTCTAACAAATATTTCAATAAAATTTAAAAAAAATTACTCACCATCAGCAGAACCATGAGCAAGCATAAATGAAACATTGTGGAATGGTCTCACATCCTTTTAAAAATAACGAAATTTATTACAAATAAACTGACTCATTTTGTGTATTCAGAAATTGAATTTAAAAAAAATAGCCCAAATGTGTAAAAAAGTTAACCTAATTCTATTAACTCTTTTTGTTGCTATCAAATAAATTTCCCTTCATAAGACTTAAGAATAAAAATATCCAACTTCCCACAAGAAAGACTTTTATAAAGGGAAAACTTTGTTGGCCTAATCATTAAATATATTTACTCAAAAATATTTCCAAAATCTCCCCCACTTCACTCATTTTTATATCAATTTAACCTGTGTCAAATCTGTCCTTTCATAAGCATCAGCACCAACTTCCCCCATATATCTTTCTGCGTATGTTGCATCTTTAAAAATAAATTTATATTTAAAAAAGTACAAAAAATTAACCATAATATTTAAAATTAGAAACAGGCGCAACACTAGCCGCACATTGAAATGTCCTATTTGAAGAATGATCTCGTTGAACAGCTCGGGCAGCAGCAAAACCTCCATAAGACTTTAAGATAAAAATATTTTAAATTATAATATTCTTAAAAATACCCATCCCCAAATTCCAACACGTTTTGAATCCAAAATTGGATAAAGTCTAAGCAATTCTCTTTAATGAAGTTTTTAAAAAATAAAATTTCAAAAATTATAAACCTCATTGTGTCAATTTGATCGTCAATTTCAACAGTTCCAAAATTTCCATAAAGAGGCTGCTTCATTCTCCAGCCTTGATGCCCAGAGCCACGTCCATCAATAAATATAACTACGTAATCCTAAAAAGTAAAAAAATATTTTTTAATGTTGGAAATTTTTAGGTAATTGATAAAGAAGTTTAAACATTGGATTGATTAGATAAATATTTAGTTAGGACGTAGAATTATATCTGTAGAGAAAAAATATTTGTGAAAAGAGGTAAAGTAAATTTTTAGAAAAGTTGATAACTCAAAAAAAACCCAATCGAAAATTGGATAACAAAAAAATAGTGTTTACAAAACCTCACAGCTCTTAAACCTATTTGAGCATCTCTATTTACAAAGAATTCATCAAATATAGTTAAATACTAACCAAAGAAGAAGCAAAAAATACATCAAACATATTTGCAGAAAGCCATTCTTCGGTAACTTTTTGTGTTCCCGGTCCAGCATAAACCTACATATTTTTAAAATAAATTTAAAATAGTTCTCAAAAAAACAAACATCAATTAAAACAGGATATCTCTTTTCCGGTCTTTTCTCCTCCAAAGAAACACCATAAGGAACCAAAATCTTTACAAGTGATTCTAAAAAATATTTTTAAAAATAAAAATAAATAAACAAACCAATTCCATTCTTTAATTTAATATTAGTAAAGTGGACACTTGGAAGTCTATATGCATGTAATGCTTGTTCAAGTGCTTCATTTCGGCCAAAATCTAATACTATAATTTAAAAAAATATTAAAAATCCTTTTTTTTAATAAAATAAAAAATAATTTTGATAAAAATATTCATTACTTTCCCTTAGATTAAAAATATTTTTTTGGGTTTTATGTTAATTTTTTCGTATTTTGTAAATATTTTTAATATTTGTTTGAAATATATAAACAAAAAAGGAAGAGTTAATGTAAACTTTATTCCTTTTTATCTTTCCGAATTGTATGAAAGAGGAGATTAACTTTCAAATAAAATTCCATTAAATTTAAAAAGAGGGTTATGAAACAGAAAATTTAATTTAAAGTTTAAATAAAATCAAATTTACCTTTTTCTAATTTATTTCCATCAGAATTTAATTTTGCAATTAAAAAATGGGGAGGTCCGGGGCCTTTACAATTTAAAGAAACAAATTGTGTAGAGAAATTGTTGTTATTATTCTTTTTAATTGGTGAAAAATGGCTTTCATGGAAAGTACAATTAATTGATATATTACAAGTTAAACATATTGGGTCGATTGAATGAGAATCCTTTAAAAAATTATTTTGAGAATTTGAAAAAAAACCATACAGGAAATGAAGGAATTACATAAAGATGTCTTTGTGAAGGCAATGGCGCTGCTGCAGTAAAATAACTAAAAATATAAATTTAAAAATTTAAAAAATTAAAAAAAAACATTTTTTGACGTTCATGGCTCAAAAAATTAATTTTTTCAACATCAAAATTTCCAGACGGAAGAAAAGCTGTAAATTAATTGATTAAAAGAAACTTTTGAGTTATCGATTTTGATTGGGCTAGCGGTTACTGGGAAATCCCCAGATATCTGGACTTTTTTTTTCAGATCCACCAATCCCAGTTTCCCAATTGAAATAAAATTTTTTGTCTTACTTTCACGCCCACGTTCCAATCCGTGAGAAACATTAATACATGCCTAAAATAATTTAAATAAATTTTTTAAAAATAAATAACTCTCAAACCAAATGAGTATAAACATTTTCTCCATTATTTGAAGGTCTTCGATGTGGCAATAAAGTATAGAAAGCATCTGATGAATAAAAACGTACTTTACTGTCCTCTGGTTCTGCCCAAAGATTTAAAATCAAATTTGAATTTGTGTCAATTTTTAAATTTTGAGAAGCTTCTGGGCCATTAAATGAAGAAATCTTTCCATAATTTAAATTATCAAAAGTGAATTTTTGGATTAAATTGGGTAAACATTTTGATGAATTAAATGAACATAAAGAGAAAATTATCTTTAAAAAAGAAAGGCAAATAAATAAATTAAAAAAAAAATAAATAAACTTGATTTTGATATCTATTTGCCCAAACAGCAATTAAAATTTGTTGTCCATATAATTCAACCCATTGAGCAGAAAATAAATAAATACGGGAACTGAAAAGAAATGTTAAAAATTAAAGATTTTAACAAGCAATTATTTATTTTTCTTTAAAAAAATTTCCAAAAAAACTAAAAATATCTACTTCAATTTAATGTCTATAATTCCCAAAAATATATTTTACCCACTCCCATTTAACTAAAAAAATTATAAAATTTCCCCACCTTTCAGGAATTCCTTCAACATTTATTTTCTTCAATGTCCCATCCTCTTTATTCCAAATACTCAACCAAATTTGAGGTAAATGTTTTTCATCAACTTTAGGATAAGGCTGTTTTGCAACTTTTGGATATTGATGATCTAAAGAAATTCTTATTAAAAATCCTCTTTTAAAATATTTACGTGCAAAATGCATAATAGGCACATGAGGCACTTCTCTATTGTCAATTGTTAAAAATGCCAAGAATTTCCCATCTTTTGACCACCACAAAGCTTGAGAAGTTTGTAAAATTTCTTCTTCATATAACCAATCAGCTACTCCATTCAAAATATCTTCAGAAGAGTCATTAGTAATTTGTTGACTTTTAAGAGTCAAAGGGTCAGATTGATAGAAAACATTGTTGTTGTAGACATAAGCCTGATAAAAAGATGAAAAGTTTATGGGTTTTTTGGGAGAAGTGAGTATGAGTCAAGGTTAAATATTTAAGCTGATTCTGCAAAAATTAAAAAAAGAAAAAACAAACAAAATCATTTCCCTTTGGATTCCAAGCCACAACTTTAACATTTTCGTCTCCACTCTTTTCAGGCCCAACATTTTCGAAAGTCCTTAAAATTAAAGATTATAAAATTAATTAAATAATCAAACTTACTCCGTTTTTGTGTCATAAACTCGAAAAGTGCTGGTTTTAGAAGAACGTTTACCGATATAATAATGAAAAATTAAATACCGAGCATCCGACGACACGTCAACAGAATTGGGCTTTCCATAGCGAAACTTGAAAAAAATAAAAATAATTTTCAAGAAGAATTTTAAACTTTGAAACACTTTTTGGCACTTTAACACCAAAAAGAAATAACTAGAAAAACAAATAACTCCAAAAGGACTCGAACCATAAAAAATTAAATCGGCAAAATAACACCTAAACCACTACACCACAAAAATAACCAGCGCGACTAAAAATCTTTTCTTTGTACAGTTTTCAACCCTCTCGTACTTTCATAAGATACTTCCCAATATTTTATTTTTTTCTTTTAAATTATATTTTCCATTTTCTCTTACCGACCAAATCTCCTTCTAAATTTTTCCATTCCCATTTTGTTGTTTCTTCATCAATAAGTTCCAATATTTTAATTCCTTCTGTATATTTAACTAACAATCTTTTGCTGTCAATCCATTCAAGAGATTCAACAAAACTAAGAAATCGAAGCGAGAGAACGTCTGATAATGAAATTCTTTGTTGGGGTTGGTCTGCGTCAATTAAAGCTTAAATGAATTAATTTAGAAAGTTTTTTAAAGGTGGAAATTGAGATTAGATAGGAAATTCCGAGGAAGAAACATTTCCTTCCTTTTACAGGGCTTAAGTTAAGGCTTTTACCCCCCCCCCCCCCCCAAACCGTAGTCTTTATCCTCTCATTTCTATAAACTTTCCAAACACTTCCCCCTTTCTACAAAAAAATAAAAAAAACATACGAGGCGAAAGAACAAGAACAGCCAAAGCAATTAATGAACACATAATTGCAATAACTAATAATGCTGTAATAATTCCCCTCCAATTACGTTCTTGATGACCGCCGATTGAAGAATCCTTTAAGGAAAATAATAATAATTGAGATGTTGGTGATGAATTTAATTTTTGTATTTTCATTTTTATAAAAAGGGGAAGGGAGATTGACAAAAAATTCTTTTGAGAGAAAAAGGAAGGAAAAATTTTTGAAAAGAGAGAAGAATGAGGGAGGGGGAGGAACTATTTAGTGAAGAATTAAAAGGAAAAAAGATTTTAAAAATTGAGATAAAAAAATATGAAAAACAATCACTGTGTGAATTTTGAATAAAAAACTTTGTTTGTTTGTAGAAAGGAACTAAAAGAAAATTTACAGTATTTCATGTAATAGTCCCACAGGGCTCTAATTCAGAATGGGGCCCTATTTTTCAAAGACTAGCAAAAAAATCAAGTAAAAAGAACATTCTTTTAATTTTGTTTTTGAGGTTAGATGTTAAAGAATTTTAAAAAATTTAAACTTAAAGGATTGTTCCTACTTTAATTAAACTTAAAAATATTTCAAGAGGGGATGTTGCGATTACAAAATTGTAAAATAATTTAAAAATTAGTTTAGAAAAATGAAATTTTTATAAAAAAATATTTAAAATAAAATTAAAAAAGGAAGTAAAAAATATCAAAGAAAATATTTTATTTATTTATTTAATCTTGTATAAATAAAAAAATAAAAAGATTTTCTTTTCCTTCCTTTAAAAGAAGTAAGCAAATTAGGGGAGAGAAAAAGAACACTTCTTCAAAAAAATATTAAATCAAAGGCCATCAATAAAATATTAAAGGGACAATTTTCATGAATATTAGAGAATTATTGATAAAAGAATGAAAAAAGAGACAAAAAATTATTGATAGAAAATATTTATTTTTAATAAATAAATAATCGCAGTTGGTGGCCTTTGAGAAAAAAAGTTGAAAAGAGATTGGAATATTTGGACGCAGAGCAGTTACGGCGCGGATTTATAAAATAATCTCGTTTATGGACAGTTAACAGCATAAATCATTAATTTTCTGGGAAATGGGTATTTTAGTTGATTTACGCCTACAATTTAAGAAATAAAAAAATTCCGAGAGAAGTCAACAATTTAATAATTAATATTTTAAAGATATTTCAGTTCCAAAAAGGACGCGACTTAACCCTCAGCGCCGAAAAGACCATACAAATTGTTAGTGGGAAATTTATTTTTTGAATATTTTAACTTTTATTCCAAAAAATATTCCCAGCATGTTTTTAACAAAAAATTCTTTTCAAAAAAAAATAAAAACACCTCCTCATCTCCAATTGTTTGGTCACCTCCAAGTAATTCAACATCTTTAATTCCCAAACTGCTGCTTCTTGTTGTCATAAGTTTTTTTTAAGAAAAATTTATTTAAAAAAAAAAAAATTTGTCGTTTTTAGTTGTTAAAATTAATTTCTTTCCTCTTTTTTATTAACATAAATAAATTATTTTGTTTAATCCAAAGAATATATTTGATAAAAAAAGAATTTTCAATTTTTTATCAAAATAATTCACATTCTTTTAAATATTTTTTGTTCGATAATATTTTGTCAATTTGCTGCCAGAAAATAAAAAAAAGGAAAATGTTTTACAACGTTAAAATAAGCTGGCTTCATTAGCGCCTTGTTGGTTCAGTTGGATTAGAAGAGGGGATATGTTAGAGTCTTAAATGGTTTTTAAATTAAAGGTTTTAAACTACCGAATTCCTTCTAATACACTAACCCTCCCCTTCAGTGAATTCCCCTCTCTAATAAAGTGCCCCTTTAGAGAATAATTTAAAAATAAAATGCTCCAGTTAGAGAAAATACGACATTTAAAATAAATATTTTTAAATCTACACCAAGGGATATCCAAAAAATATTACTGGATATCCCTTTGGTTATACCATTAAAGGGTATTTCTTCATTAATAAAGAGAAAGCAAAAACAATTTCTTATTGAAATTAAAAACTTATTTTAAAGTCTCTACCAACCCCTTTAAAAGTTCACTTTTTATGGCCAACAGACGACACAAATTTAAAGGAAGACACAAAGGAAAAGAACAATAAATATATTTAAAAAAGTCAGCTGTTCTTTAAAAATTAAAGTAGTTAAAGAGACTCTAAAGAACATAAAATAAGCTTAAATGTTTTGGCAAAAATATTATTGAATGAAAAATAAAATAAAAGAGAAAAAGCATGCAAATAAAGAAATAATAAATTGAACGGAAAAAAATAAAAAGAATTTTTAAAATTTTCATTAAAAAAAATAGAACGAGTCGGATATACAAAATCGGGATTTGATTAAATAAACAAATGGAAATCCACATGATTTTTATGCAGGGAGTTGGTATTTTAAACATTTTTTGGGGTGTTACCATTTTGAAATTTACTCAAAAGTTTTTAATTAAACGCCAAAAAACCCAAAATTTCCCAAAAATGTTTGGATTTAATTTTTGTTAATTTTAATTGTTTTAAATAAATTTTTAGATATATTTTTTGAGAGATTTAAATATTTATTTACATATAAAATGACTGAAAAAGGATCATCAAGTTCTGATTTGGGCCTAAATGTAAATTTAAAAAATAATTAAAAATTAATTATATTTTAATTAAGGAAAGTGAGGGGGAAATTGTGAAGAATCTTCAAACAAAACTTAATAATTTTGAAATTGAATTTAATGAGGAAAAAGAAAAGAATGAAAAAGAGAAGAAATTAATTGAAAGTAAAAATAAGAAGGAAATGGAAATTTTTGAGAAGAAAATGAATGAGGTAAGGGACGAGGGGGGAGGGAGTAATTAATCCTCGAAATTTGGATTAAAACTTGGGTTGGGGTTCTCGAGTCGGGCCGACGTTCGAGTCATTTTTTTCGGGCCAAAATTCGATGCCCGACTCGATCTTTCAAACCGGGTCGAATCGGGCCCCAACCCTAATTAAAACCAAAATTTCTTCCTTTCCTACTATTTTTAATTTTAAATTTTACAGTCTTCCTTCAAAAATTAATTTTTAAAAATATTTTCAGGAAATCCAAAAAGTCAAATCTGAGCAAGAAAATGAAATTAAAAATTTAAAAGAATATTTTCAACGATTAATTGATGAAAAAATTGAAGAAATTAAAACAATTGGAAAACAAAAGTGTGCGGAATCGACGTCTGAAATTAAAAAATTGGGAGGAATGGTTAAAGATTTAAATAAATTTTTAAAAATAATTTTTTTCTTTTAGAATTTTATTCAAATTAAAAATAAATGGAGTTTAACTTCTAATAGTTTTGAAAATGCCGATAAAAATAGTGTGCCTGTTGGAATTTGTATTGAAGAAAATGAATTTGTTAATTTAACTGGAGATGGAAATATTAAATATATTTTGGGGAAAGGTTTGTTTTTTTTGAAGAAAGAATTTAAGGATATACTTTAGCCGGTGGCCGGTTCAAAAGCCCTACTAATTATATACCATTCGATTCGTCTCGGCGAGCTGAGTCGAATGGTATATATTTCGAAGGGCTTTCGAACCGGCTAAAGTCAAGTAGAACCTTAATTTTAAATTTATTTTATTTAGGTGAAGATAAATCTGTTTTTGTTTTTGCCGAAAATGAATTTAAAAATCCAAAAGAAAAAAATAATTATTCTTTGTTTTATTATGAAGTTAAAGGGAAAATTGAAGAAGAAGAAAATAAAAATATTTTGTGTGTTGGAATTAAAAATTGTGGAAATGAGGATGTTTTGTTGTGTATTGGAAAACCAATTAGAAACAAATTGGCGGCTTCTATTGTTTACAAACAAAAAAATAAAAAGAAGGGAATTAATCTTCCAGAAAATTTTTGTTGGAATGATGGGGATGTTTTTGGTTGTGGAGTAGTATATCCACCAATTAATAAAAGGGACAAATTCCCTTTTGTTTTCTTTACTCAAAATGGGAAACAAATTGGTTAGTGAAGATTTATTAAGAGAAAAATATTATTTTTTTAAAGGTAAAGGAATATTGATGAAAGGTCGAAAGAATGATGAATCTGTGCCGTCTCTTCTTTTGGGTCGTTGTTCTGTCGAAACAAATTTTGGAAATAATTTGGAGATTAAACCTTTTCTTTTTGATATTTCAAAGAATTCTGTGCTAGAGGAATTTTATGGAGATTCTAATGATGATGATGGTTCTGATAGTAGTACATCTGATTCTGACGATTCTGATATTGGTAATTTTTTTTTCCAATAAAAAAAAATAAAAAATACTTTAAAAAATTTAAGAAACAATGGGGACGATGATGCTGGGAATGATGTTTGCAGGGGCGGCTACACGCGCGATGGCTGAAATGTTTACAAATACTGTTGAGAATTGAGCAAGTTTTGAGGTTATTTAAATTATTGGAGGTTATCATTTTGGAAAAACAATTTTATTTAGAAAAAATATCTTTAACTTTTAAAAAATTATACAAATTTTATAAATTTGTTTGATAAATTTTATTATTTTGTTTAAAGTCGAACTGCTTTAGTCTACTTCTTAAAAAGCCCTATTTTATAGGGCTTCTATAAATTTTGGAAAAAATTTTATAAGGAAAACTCCTTCATCCACTTCCTCCACTTCTCTACTTACACGGAGAGGTTGCGAGGTGTCCGAGCTAAAAACGGTCGAGACCGGGCTCATTCGATAGAGAATGTGCCCTTTCTAGCAAGGATTTTTTGCCGTTTTTGCCCGTTTTTTGATCTGGCCAAGATATGGCCCTCCAAAGTCCCAAAATTTGCCATAATTTTCCCCCCTCAAAGTTGAAAAAGGAATAAATAATGTATAAAACAGTTAGATAAAATAATAAAACCAAAAAAAGAATCGAACTTTTTAGAGAAAAAGGGTAGGTCAAGCACACTCACCACTACACCACAACGTCAACAAAATTAACCTATTATTTAATGTTTATATTTGAGGGGGGAAAATTATGGCAAATTTTGGGACTTTGGAGGGCCATATCTTGGTCAGATCAAAAAACGGGCAAAAACGGCAAAAAATCCTTGCTAGAAAGGGCACATTCTCTATCGAATGAGCCCGGTCTCGACCGTTTTTAGCTCGGACACCTCGCAACCTCTCCGTGTTAGCAATTTAACCACTCAACCATATATGATACAAGAGTTTGGTTAAAAAATTTGCGGATGTGGCTGCATCAACGACTGTGAATCAACTACACAAGCGGGACTATTGCCTCCTTCCTCCACTGCGCGTATTTAGGCCCCGCGCAACCTCCACTCAAACACATTACCCGTTAAGGCATGCGTTATACTCCAGGGCACGATTGGTATTTGTTTGTTTTGTGTTTAGTGTTTTATTTGTTTGGTTTGATTGGTTTTGCTTCTGCTTTGAGCGTTAATTGTTATTTTGGTTAAAGCCTTCAGCATCGGCTGTCCCGCTGAGAGCCGGCCTCAGCCTCCACATGTGCCTACCGAAAGCACACCACATCCATGCTCGCTATAAAAATCTCTTCTATATATAATGAGAGGAAATATTTTTCTATTTTTTTCGATGGGTTGTAAATAAAGTATTTAGATTATTTTGTGTTTGTTTATTTGTTTTTCTCTTTTTTCTTGTTATTCCCCCTTTTACCTCTCTTATTTATTTTTCTCTCTCTACTTTGCTAGTCTCGATTTTATACTCTTATTTTTAGCACTGACAAATTTTTATGAGGTTTTTTGAGTTTGTGTAAATTTTGCAAAAGAAATTTTGAATTTTATTAGGCTTTAATTAAATTCTCTAACCTTTTGTAATTAAACTTCAACCGTCCAGTATTTCCTTTTTATATAAATAAATTATCTATTTCGATTATAGTATGTAAATATTCTCGATTTTCAAGTTTTGAAACAAAAAGTTTAAGGAGATTCTTTTTTTGATTGTCAAAAAATTTTAGGACCCGGCTGCATCATCGACTCTGAAAGGGCTCACAAGCAGGATTTATTTTTATTCCTCCAACCTCCTCTGCGTTTTAGCCCACGCACCTCCACTAGCAACATTTAAATTAAACCAATTTCTCATTTAACTCAAATGTGCTAATTTCTCCAGGGCACAACCATGAAAGGTTGGTAATGAATTGTTTATTTTGTTGTTGTTGTTGCTGTTGTTGTTGTGATTTTAGTCCCGCCGTGAGACAGCCAAAGTCTCTGCAAATGCTCCCATGCACCGCCGTGTCCAACGAGAAACGGCTGTTAAATCCAAGTTTATATAGAATGCTTGTATTTTTTAATGTAAATTTTCGATGGGTTGTAAACTATAAATAATGGTTAGAGATGATAAAAAGTTTAAATGTTCTTTTAGCTTTTAAATTCATAAATTTTGTTTTGTAAATTTTTTTGGGAATTTTTCTGTTGACATTTATGTTTGTTTATTGTATTCTGTCAGAAATTTAAAAAATCTTCTTTTTTTTATCTAAACTTCTACAAAAAAATTTCTTAAAACAATAAAAGAATTTTTTTGTAACATGTAACACAAAAGCTCGATTCCATTCCTTTTTCGTTAGGACTACTCGTTTATATAAGCTCTCCGGAGTTTAATCCAGGGCTTCGATCTCGAATTTTTAAAAATCCGCAATTTCGATCGAAAAAATCCGCATTTGATATGAAAAATCCGCAAAAAATTATCAAACACAAAATTTGAAGTAAAATCACTTTATATTTTATATTTTTTGACTCCAACAATTGAATTATGCAATTTTTTATTACTAATGATAATCTTATAGAAATCCGAACAATTATCTGGACAATTACAGTTGAATTTTTGCCGCCGAAGACACCAAAAATTTTTATTTCTTACATTTTAAGCGCCGCAGGCAAAAATTTTGAGGATTTTGGAAGGCCAGAAGCCAGATTTCTTATATTTTCAGCGCCGCAGGCGAAAATTTTGAGGATTTTGGAAGGTCTTCGCAGAAAATAATGGCATTTTATCATAAAAACTACAGAAAAATATAAAAAATCCTCATATTCTTCAAAAGACCACAAAAATCCGCAAATCCGCATTTTTAAAAATAATCCTCATCGCCCTATCAAAAAACCACAAAATGAGGAAAAATCCGCAGAAATCGAAGCCCTGGTTTAATCCAAGGATTACTATTTTTGATCTATCTTATAGGCAAGGGTCTGTGCTTAATACCCAAAAGTTTGGAGTCACTCCGACAATCACTCGTTCGGAAATGTGAGAAAATCCCATTCGAGGAGGTGCGAACTTTTTCCAAAACCCCAATAAAATTTATCAAATGTTTATTGTCAAAATTTTATTTTCAATTTTTAATTAATTAAATTTATATTAATTTTTTTAAAAATAACTCTTTAATTTATTTATTTTAATCTGTCCAGGCAATCTTTGAGTTAATTCCGTTCACATACTTTTATCTCCTTTTTATATCTTTTTTGTAACAAATATTATAAATATATATATTTTGCCTCTCAACGTGAATTTACTATTTATTTAGATATCTAATATTTTTATCCAAACATAATTTTAATTTAATTTTGTATTTTATATGTAGATTATGCAAAAGATTTTGTTTAATCTTTTTTTATTTTCTTTTATTATCGTTATTTAAGTCAAAAAACTATTAAGGAGAGAGATTATTTAATCAAAAAGAATATATTTACTGATCCAATCTTTCCATAAAAATTTTTTAATCATGATATTTTTTATTTATTGAAGTAACAATTCACTAATAAAGGAATTATAATTAAATTAATCTTTAACACAAAAATAATTTCCAAATTTTAAATAAATCTCCTCCAAAAATTCTTCCAAATTTTATTTTTAAAAATTATTTCCTCCAAATTTTCTTTTCAATCATTTCCATTCTCTTCCTCCCTATCTACGTCCCCATCTTTTACCATTACTGGCACTTTCTGTTAGAAAGGGGAGAAATATTAAGTAATAGGACTGGCGCTGCTTATCTTTTTTACATCAGAGTTTTTAAATGATTGAAAGCGAGAAGAAGAAGAAGAAAATATGGAAAAGGTGGAAAAAAGAGATTAGATTTTTTAGAAAAAGGAAGAATTTGATTGTCTTTGGAAGATTAATCAAAATGATTAAATATTTTGTTATAATTTAGTTAAAGACTAAATTATTTTTTTGAGAAGGAAGGATTTTTAGAATTCTAATAAAATATATTTCCACTAGAGCTGGATAATTTTCAGCGTCCGTCTTCCGCCAAATTCCGTCTTTTTTGGTCATTCCGCCTTTTGCTTTTTAAAATTCAAAATTCTCCAGCCCTGGTATCCACACATATATTTTCCATCTTTCCATATTTTGTTTGGGCATTTGTTTCAATTTTTATTTTTCAATATAATTAAACACTAAATACTTAATTATTACCCACTATATCAAAGTGAATAATTAAAAAATTCTTTTTTTTTCCACTCTTCAATTAATTAATTAATAATTAAGCATGTCATTTTTAATTAAAAAAATATATTTATTTAACGTAAAAAATTATATTTTCTTTTTTTTTTCTTATCAAAATGACACAATAACTTTTTACAAATTTAAGGAGGGGTTTGTTTCTTTGGCCATTGAAACTAAATAAGAAAATTCTTTTTTTTTCAATTTAATCAACCACAGATAACAACAGAACTGGCCAATTAAATATATAAACATTTAGAGGGCATTCTAAACAAAAATTTTGGAATATTTTTGGTGATAAGGGATTGATAAAATAAAATTATTTATTTAAATATATTTTTAGAAAACTGATAAAGAAAATTAAAGGTGTCGTCAAAGATTTTTTTGTAAATTTCTTCGTCAAGAAAGGATTGCCGAGAATTTAAAAGTTAAATGATAAGAGAATTAATTTGTGTATTTGTTGATTATTTAAATAAATAATTTCGTTCAGTTTTTTTCTTAATTGAAGCAAAACTGGATTAAATATTGATATTTTAAATATTATTGCAAAACTTGCAATTAAATATTTTAAATCTAAAAATTAAGAAATTTTTTAAAGCAAGCTATAAGTAAATTAGATTAGGCAATGTTTGAAACACATTTAATTATTATGTCATTAATAATTCCCTTTCTTTGTTCATAACAAAGAAATTTTAAAAAAAAATTATATAATTGTTTCTATTATCTATAGTCATTTTCTTCAAAAATTTTTTGTTTTATTTTATTTCCTCTAAAAAAACCTCCCTTTACATGATATACACTCTCACTTATCACATTTTGACTCCCCTTTGTATATCAACTAAATTTAATTTATTAAAAATGTTTAAATTAATATAATTTCAGAAAATGTCTTCTACTTCCCCCACTAATCAACAACCATCCAATTTAATTTTCCTTCCACCCCCACCACCTTCTCCATATATTTTTCATTTAAATTCAACAAATATTCCTTTACTTCCACCAACAACAAATCCAATAGAAGAACAATTAAATTTAAATTTATTAAATTCTTTATTAATTAAACATTTCCAACAACAAAATAATTTTAAAAATTCTTTTAAATTACCTAATAATGGGCAACAAATAAATAATAATGAATTTAATAATAATAATAATTCTTTATTTACTAACAACAATACTAAAGGTAATATTTAAATACACGCTCTCTTTTAAGGCTGAAAAAGATTATTTAAAAATGAGGGATATTTGGGAATATAATATGAAGATTAGACAGCTCTCCTCCTTCTAAGGTCCCCAGCTAAATTTAAAAATTTAACTAAAATTAAAATATATCCACATGTTTGTGATATTTAAAAGATGTTTTTTGTTAATTTTTATTTTTGTACCCTTAAATAGTTCGTTTTTAATTTATTCCTCTCTATTTCCCTCAAAATAAATAAAAACAATATAATTTTAATAGTTGAAGATCCATTACAAACATTTCATCCACCAAATAATATAATTCTTTTACCTGTTGGTTGTCATTCATTGCCAGATGAGAAACATATACAAGTAAATTAATTAAAAGATTATTCTCTTTAATTTAATTTTTAAATTAGTTATTAGGGGCACCACAAACAATACTTCCAATAGCCGTCCATTCAAATGTTTTAAATACTTTCCCTATAAATCCCGTAATTTTGGAATCAAAAATTTCTTCAAAAATTTTATTTAAAAATTGTTGTAATCAAAAACAAAATTTATTGTGTCATTTACCTATTGCTATAAATAAAACAATTAATAAACAACAAATAAATACTCCTAAAAAAGAACAAAAAATAAATAATTTTATGGATGTTAGGTAAGGAAAGGAAGGAAATGTTTTTAATTTAATTAATGGCATATTAAAAAATTACGTAATATAGAAAATATTTTTTTAATTGTGTTGCTAATAAAGAATTGAATTTTTACACTTTTTAGCGGAGCTGGAAGGAATATTTCCTCTTATTTAGGTTTAGATTAGAGTTCTGATAGTACCTTAGTACCAACGATATTTTTCAGTATTACGGTACGGAATACAGCACATAACAAAATTCCGATTTTTCTATTTTGGAAAATATTTAGTACATAAAAATATTTTTATTTTTTCTTTTTCAGTTGCCAAACAGAAGACAACAATAATTATTTAATAACTACTTCCTCCTCCTCCTCAACTTCTCCTTCAACTTTTAACAACACCAATTCTTCAATAAACAATTTTGGAATTGAACCTTTAGATTTATCAATATCTACCAACAATAATAAACAAAAACAATATTTAAGAAAAAGAGCATCTACAACAACAACAACAATATTACTTCAACAATCTTGTAAAGATTTAAATAAAAAAGAAGAAATTACAACAAAAAAATCAAAAAAAGATTTAATTATTTTTGTTAGTTTTTATTTTTTGTTTCATAAAGAAAAATTTAAGGCTCCCGTAGAGTTGATTTGAGGTCCCTGAGAGTTTTTCAGAATTGAAAGATTTGGGGGAAAATTAATTTTAAGTAATTTTAACATTTTCTCAATTACTTCCAGTTATTATTTTTAAAATAATTTTTTGGGATGAGAAATTAATTTTAAAAATTTGGTATATTAAATTTGGTATAGGGGGTTGTTCTTTCTCCACACTAAAATTAACTTTTTCTCTAAATCTCATTGTTTTAAATAACATTTCCATAAAGGCTTGGACTCCATTTTTAGTTCAAAATTAATAAACCTTCCGATTCTGATACTTTTTGAATAAGAAGATTGCCTTTAATTTATCTAAAACGAGTTAAACACAATCTCTTCCTTTCATTTAAAAAATATTATAATTTAATTAATTAAATTATTTTTACAGAATAACCACAAACCAACAAATTCCCCCTCCCTTTCGTCACCCAATACTTCCAAAATTAACACAAATAATTATCAAAATGTGAATTATGAATATACAATTAAAAATGCCAATAATGATAAAACAAAAATAAAAACATCGCCACAAAAGAGGTTTCCCTGTGATTGTAAGAAAGTTAAAAGAAAATTTTGTTAATTCAAATTTTTTTAGTATGTGGGGATGTGTCGTTTTTGGCATTAGAAACGTTGGAAGGACATCGAAAATATTATTGGTATATAATTGTTTTGATTTTTATTAGTTTCAACTTTTGGGGAAATTTTAAAATGGGGGGGGGGTGGATACTTTTGACAAAACGGGAAGGAAAAAAAGGGACGGAGAATCAGTTATGCTCATTCCTCTGCTCGAAAGTTAATTAAAGAAAGGAGCTTTAAGTACTGTTTGTCCACTAATTCGAGATTTATATTTAGTCGAAACAGAAAGATAATTTCTGTTGATACACAACAACAATTAAAAACAACAAATAATATGTAAGAAAAGGAAATTAGTAATTCAATTTCAAAAAATAATTTAATACAACAACAAAAACAACAACAAAATTTACCTTTAATTTGTGTTTCTTGTGGATATAAATCTTTAAATTTAAAAGGACTTTGGTTTGTCTTTTAATTTTTTTTGGAAGTAAAATAATAAAAATATTTCAATTTATTTTAAAATTGGAAGAAAAGAATTGATTTCTTTAAATTAAATAAAGAAGAGTAGTAGAGTTGTCGGTTCTGAAAACACCGAGGATTTTTCGGTTAGGTTTCTGATGTCTGAAAATTTTCCAGGAACCGACAACCCTAAAGAATAATATCTCTTTTAAAGTCAAAAATTGGTTAATAGGAAATAAGGCAAATAAATGTGCATATATTTTCTCGATTGTAGTTAAATAACCCCCCTCAACTTGAATTTTTAATATAAAATTATTAATTATTTTTTTTTTAAATTTAAGTAATCATCTACGTTCTACACATTCAATTCGTTCTCCTATTAACAACAATTCTTCTCCACCTTCTTGTGTTGTAGAAAGTGACAATGGAGAAACAAAAGAATTTTAAAATTAAATTAAAAATTAAATTGTCGTAAAGAAATTTTTAAAAATTTTTTCTTTATTAAACTTTATTAAAACGTTAATTTTTAAAATTTTAAAAATTCTTTTTTAATATTTAATGAGAGCTTGTTTACATTCAAAAAGTTTTTACCAATTCATACTTGGTGAGACGGGTTACCCGAAACCCGGACTTTTTCTCAGCCCGTCCCATCCCTGATCCATACGAAAGTTTTGCCCAATTAAAATTAAATTTTTAATCAAAGTTTGTTTGAAACAATCCGATAAAAAATCTTTCGCAGAATTTTTAAAATTCATTTGAAAAAATACAATTTTCTTTTAAAAATAACTTTTCATATTATTTATACAAAACATTTCATATAGTGTGGAAATAAAAGGTCGTCATATTTATTTATTATTTGCAACCCATCGAAAATTACGTTTAAAAAAGGAAGCATTCTATATATTTATTTCGTTTATCAGTCCAATCGCTGGACGTGGTAGTGTGTGTAGTGTGTGTAGCACTTGCAGAGACTTTGGCTGTCTTCACGGCGGGGCTAAAAACAAACAAAATAAACAACCCGAAATAAATAAATAAATACGAAGCAACCCTTTTGGGGTTGTGCCCAGGAGGTATAGCGCATTAAGTTAAATGAGAAATTGGTTTAATCTTAATGTGCTGTGGAGGTGCGTGGGCTAAAACGCAATGGAGGTGGAGGCTAAAAAACAAGCTCCGCTTGTGAACCATTCAGAGTCGATGATGCAGCTACGTCCTAATTTTTTTACAAATTTAATTAAGCAATCTAGGAAGCCGAAATTCTAATTTTACATGACTTTAGATAAATTTCCAAAATCCTGACACCGATTCTTCGAATCGGTTCTAGATTAAAAAAATCAGATTTTGCTCAACCTCAGCAAGCCTTATATTTGTTACAAGGAATTGTAAGTGACGTTCTATTAGAAGATGCTTTTGAAATTAAAGGTTATAATTTTGGGACAACATGTAATTTTATAATTTATTTATCACAAAACTGATGAAAAAAAAAGTTTTATACAATTTTATTTAGTCAATTTAGTTTCATTTTTTATTACCAATTTGTTCATATCGTTGACGTACTTTCTCCAAAATTGCCAATTTATCATTTGTTACATTTTCTCTTGCATTTTCTTTTGTTTTTACAAACATTCCCAATCCTGCCCGGTTATTTTTAATTATTGTTTCAATCTTTTTAAAAAGATAAATATTAAAAAATATTTTTTTTTCAATTTTTCCTACCGGCCCTTTCATTCCTTGATTTGCCTTTCCAAGTCCTTGTCCCTCACTCCAACCCATTCCTTTTAACAATTGTTAGAAACAATCTCTTTTAATTATTTCTAGCCCTTCTAAATTTATCCAAAAAAGGAATATTTCTTTATTAATATTTATTCAATTTAATAATAATTTTACAATTAGGCTTAAGGGGATTATTGGGGAATTTAAAAGTGAATTGAAGCTGAAGCTAAAATAACAGAAATAGCTGAGTTTAAATAAACAGGGAAATGACAAAAATGATTAAGAATGTTAAATAAAAATAAAGTTTAAGAAATTGCATGAATAAGAAAATATATTTGAAAAGGACATTTTTGGATTTAAAAATAAAGAATTAATCATATAAAATAAATCACACATATTTTGATTGTAATTTAACATTATTTCTAACACTCCGCGCAACAAAAGTATTTAGGATACAAGAAAAGATAAAGCGAGTTAGTAAGGGTAGAATACAATAAAACATTAAGATGAGTAAAAAGATTGAAATTATTAAAAGGAAAAGGTAGCGCGGGAAAATGAGTAATTTTAAAAGGTTGGTAATATCCATATTTGGTAGCTTCAAGTGCCAATGTGGTGCGGTTTTGTTTCCATATTCTTCGTTCCAAATTACATCATTCAGTGCTGCTTCAGGATAGGCAAGTTTGCCTTGTAGTTGAAATGTTGTTGGTGAACTGCCACAAAAAACTTCACACGTCTCGTCAATATCCGACGTGGAGAAATGTATACTCAAAATCTTTCTTTCAACTGTCGGTCGGCACGGTATTGCCATTTTCGCCGACGGGCAAATTATGTTTGCAAGAGTCGATCCAAAGTCTGTTTTACATTCTAAGTCCACATGAGCTCCTTTTTTACAATCAAAACATCCTGTCAAATTTGCTCGGACTATACAAGTATTCATGCTTATTTCAGTCTTTAAAATCATTCCCTCAATTTTTATCTGAACTTCAGCTGACGTTAGATCGGGAAAAGCTGTTATTTCTCCGTAATCGACTTTTACTAATATTCCGTTATGATTGAAAGGGAGATTATTCGATTCTTGAAAAATTTGTTCATCTTTAATAATTTCTGTACAAAGACAATTTACATTATCGTCAGCTGGTCGACATGAACAGGTAAGTGGATCTACAGTGCAATTAAAATTGCCTGCTTGGTATTTATTTGCGCATTTAAATTTTTGTAATTGCGTTTCAATTTCATAATCTAGCATTGCTGCCTTTTTTCCATCAAATACAAAATTTTTATTTAAAACAGGCAGTATGGGAGTGGTTATGCTTTTTAACGTTATTTCTATTTTATTTTTGCCTTGTCTTGATGCCATTCCTGGTACTAGATTAAAGGCACTTTCCCATTTTCCCTCGTTTGTATCTATAGTCAAATTCATTCCAAGTCCTAACTCCCATTTAGGACATTCAAAAATTTCCAAAATTCTTTCATCAACAGGAGTGGCATAAAATCTATAGAAAGTACAAGCCGGGGTTGTATAAAAACATCCGGAAAACCAACCACCGCTACTTTCTACACATTGTGTTATTCCTGGGTAATCATTCGTGGCATTAAATTCAATTAATTTTTCATGAGATTTTATTTCGCTGCATTTTAAATCATAGCAGCTTCCTGTTTCAGGGCATCTCTTTGAAGATTCAACTTGCATGTGGAAAAATCGGGAAAAATATTTTAAACTTTTAGTACAAAAAGCCTTTGTTTTATGAATTTCCATTGTTAAAGTCCCTAATATTTTTCCGGTATGATCGTTTAAAGAAACTTGGATTTGTTGCTCTTCGGGATTAAATGTCAAAACAATTATTTTTTCAAACGAGCAGCTTCTTTCACCGAGTTTATTCACAACACAACTTTCTTCAGTTGCTTGTAAACTAGTGAGGCAAAAACATTTAGTTAGATTGATTAAAAACAATAAAGCAACAATCACTTTCATCGGACGTTTTTTCTTTGTTATTAGTGGTTTAGTTGGTTTTGGCTTTGATTCGTTTTTAATTTCCTCCTCCCTTTTACTTTTTCTTGCGATGAATCGAATAAATTTTATTTTATGCTTTATTACCCAGAATGTCACTTTCAAAATCAAAATTATTATTTTAATGGCAATGTATATTAAGTTAGAACAAAAGTAAACTAAAATCCCAAACAATATCATGGAAACTTCGGGGAAACAATGCGGGTTCATTAAACGTTCAAAACAAAAAATACAATTCATTATTTCACAAATATTTAATTTTTCACATTCTATTTTCATTTTCTTTATTAATTCACCATTTTTATAAAATTGAACGTCAGTTTTGTATTTTTCCAAAACAATTTCATGGCTTAAAGTTATGTTTTCTATTTTTTCGGGGAGGGCTCTATAAAAACATTTCTTTTCGTTACAAATCTCTATTCCACCTATCATTTCATTTGTTTTTACTTGTATTCCTTCTTTTGTGCATTTTAATTCACACCCTTTACAAAGTGACGTTTCTTTTTTCGGAAAGCCATAAACTTTTATTTTCACTCTTCCCCATGCTTTTATCGCTACTCTTCCCTCCGGAGCGACAAAAAATGCTTTTTCAATTCTGGGGTAAAAACAAAATCTAGTTCCCTTTTCGGAACAATGGTATTTACTACAATATCTTGGGGAACCCGTAATTTCCTTTCCTTTTCCAATACAAACAAATTCTTTTATTGCATCTTCCAATTCTATTTTTAATTCATTTACCAAATATTTTTCTCCCGAAATCAATTCAATTTGGTTAAATTCCTTTATTTCAAATGTTTTTGCGCATGATTTATCTTCCTCAGTAGAAC